AATCCGCGCGCTGTACAATTGGCATTTTATGTTTTCTAATATAATATTTGTTTGTTATTCATTATACAAATTAACAGCGTGGCACAGATGGCAACAAGGTGATGGTTTGGAGCATGAGGACCTGGGTTCGATCCCAGGTCCCAACAAAATGCTATTTTCTTATTTTCTTGTTACAGATTCAGTGCACCCTTGGCCCAAGCGTCTCACCATATGCCCTCAATGTTCAATCACTAGATCTCCAGAAGGCCTGATCTAACGCTCATCCTTGAAGGTCTACCATGCATCTTAGTTAAGCCAACGCATTGGATCATGGGAGTCAACGTGGACCCATGCTTATTGGGCTCAGATATGCTATGGACACCCCCCTTTTCACTTTGATACCCGACCCAATTCTTTTTTTTCTTCTTTTCTTTTATATATTTTCTTTCGTTTATTTATTTATTTATTTAAATTATTTTCTCACACAAATTTAATTCTTTTTATAAAAAACTCATAAAATCAATTTTTTCTCAAATTAGATTTAGGTTTATTTTTAGCAAATTTAATTTAATCAGTTTATTTAATTTTAGGGTAACTTTAATCTAACTTTTTGTAAATAATTAAAAACAAATTAGAAAATTAGGTTTTATTTGATTTAATTTTTATTTTCTTTTCTTAAAATAACCAAAATACAAAAATAGGCCAAAATTAATTATTTTTATTAATTTAAATTAATTAGTAATTAGGTTTGTATTTAATCATTAAAACCTTATTTTCTTAAAATAATCAAAAACAACAAAAAATGATTTTTCTTTCAATTAGGTTTAGACGGGGTCAAAATCCTAATTTTCCTCGTTCTCGATCTATCGCGCGCATTTATTATTTTTACAATATTAATGTAACTGCCCATGGGATGTAATAGTTTAAATTAGGACTTTTCTTTTATTTTGTCGTTTTACGGGTTTTTTGGCTATGTAATTAGTCCCCCCTCCCCGAAGCCTTGTAATAGCTTAGTTTTATTTCTCGCATCTTTATTTCCGCAAATATTAACTGTTGGATGTATGATAATAGGAATGCATGACAAGACTGTATGTTAATTTTAAAATGATTAGTAAACCCTAAATATGCAAAGGTAATAACTGAAATCAAATCACTCGCACATGCGCACTTCTAGGGTATACTCTCACTTCGGTTGCCTTCGGTAAACGATCATTAAGTATATGGTGTTTTAGTGGTCGCTCTCTTCTCTAAGCAAAGATCAAATGTCCCGTGCGGAAATGTTGCCTAGGAAATGTTGCCTCGGAAAGGTTGCCTCAGAAATGTTGCCTCGAAGATAATCTTAAGACATTAGGGTTATTACTAAGACGTCCTAACATTGCTTTAGTGATTGTACGTCCCTTTCAAATTGACCCTTACAACTCCAACAACGGTGGTACCTATTTCTCAATAGTAGGATAACATTGTCTAAAGGAAACAAGAACAAAAACATTCTTTTTTCGAGTAGGTAGATGCTAGTAGGTACTTGCTCAAAATCATACTTTTTCACACTTACACTTTTTCAAACAAAGTTTTCAAAACAACTTTGTAACACTCTTGAAGACAGAAGCAAGGGTTAAATCGAAGTAAAACAAAAACTTTTCGAAACACACAAACACGAAAGCAATTTTTAAATGATGAGCAAGTACCTAAGAGCCCGTAGAAAACTACGGATATAAAGGGTGCTAATACCTTCCCTTTCTATAATCTACCCCCCGTACTCAAAATCTCGAAAAAGGAACTTTTATGTGCTTTTGTCCTTTCTAGTTGGATAAAATAAAAGTCGGTGGCGACTCTTGCTTACCGCGACATTTTGCGAACACAAACAGAAAGCGCAAACCATCATTTTCTCAAAACAGTCGGTTCTGCCACCGTATCACAATGATGATCAGGTTAGCTTCCTTGAGGTCCTAGGAAGCTAATGCAATGGTTTTCTTGAGTTGGGAGTGGCTGAAATGGCCTGGAGAAGTCAAGTTGCAGACTCTGTTTTTTGGTTATGGAGGTTATGGTAAATGGTGTTATAGTTCTGGAATAAGGATGGGGATGAGTTTTATTTGAGGTAAGGAAGCTTTAGGAATGAATTTGAGGGAAAACGCACGAGGGAAATGGGAGATACAAGTTTAAGGTCAGAACTGTGTATCAATGGAGTTTTTTGTGCAATTTTTGGATAGAGGGAATTTGGTAGTATTTTAGGGTGCTAAAACTCGTCCCTTAGCTCATAAATAGTGACTCTATTTATAAGCAACAAGTTTGGAGACTTCTTGTTGATCAGAATTCAAAATCACAAGTTTATGCATAACATGTGATTTTTGAGAAATTCAAGTTTCAAAGCCTTGTGTACTTGCTAAGATAGAGTGGTTATACTTTAAACAAGTTATCTTATGACTTTGTGGGTGGAGTGTGATCAAAGGGAACAAGTTAGAGGCTCAAGAATGGACTTTATGCAAAAAGCTTGCTTTACAAGAATGACAATGTTAACTTTGTGCCATTAATGGAAATGCAACTTGGATAATAGCTCAATTGCTTGGATCAAAGCTCTAACAGTCATGTAAGCATTTAATTATGGAGTGACAAACAAGTTTTAGGCCTGCAAAGCAAAGATTATGCAGCCTAGCATGGATTTGGTTCATGTGTTCATCCAAAAATGGCTTGTAATTCAAGTGATGAAACCCTAACTTCATCTCTTCGATTCTCCCTACTCAAGAATGATCTCAAAGAGTTCTTTGACATTTTGGAAATATTGCAATATGCTTTAAAAACCATCTTTGAATTGATTTTTAAGATTACCCTTGGAACTATTTGAAAAAGTGCCATGAAGTTGGGTCAAAATCCTGACCAAATTAGGGTAAAATTTCACTAAGTGTTTAGTTTCATGACCCTGTGTTCTTAAAATTATAACTTGAGATCCAAGCACTTTTGGAAGAAGTTGTGTGAAGTAAATTTTTATATTTCATGGATATATACAACTTTCATGTTGGAAGTTTCTCTTGAATCATCTTGCATTATAGTGAAATTTTTTCTCAAAGTTATGAAAAAACATGAAATTTTCAACACTTAAAAAAAATTCTAAGTTTAGAAATTTTGACTTTTCAAAATGAAATCTTGAATTTTTGATTTCTTGATGAATAAGTTTCATATTTTGACATGTTTTGATAAATTATGATCTTTGGCACTTGAATTTGACCAAAAAGTCAAAGTTTGACTTTTTAGTATACAATTGACTTTTGATCAGTTGACTGAAAAATTCATCCGTCAATCCAATGGACTTGCAATGTTTTGAACCATGTAATTAGGTCAAAATGATTCAATTTGACTCTTGAGATCATTCCTTAAACCAATTGATTATTTTCTAGGTCAAAAAAAATCAGAAATTGCCCTTTCTCAGTCAAAACCTTAATTTTGACCATTTTGCCCTTTTGAGGATTTGATCAAATTTCTTGAGGAGTTATGGTCCAAATTTGATCAAATGATACATATGAGTTTAAAATGTTGATGTGGATCAAGAATTATGAAGTTTGACTGTAAATTGGCCATGGTTGACTTTTTCCCCAATACAATTGACATTTAGGTCAACTGCTCAATTGACTGATAAAAAATGTGATCAAAGGCTTGAAACTTGACATGTGAGATATTGGGGGTCCATAATGATCCATGAAATTCATATGAGGCATTGGAAGTTCAAAAATCTTTGTGCAAACTCAAACCCTAATTTTGGTCATTAGTGCATAAGGAGGTGTCTTGAGCTGATCAAACCCTAATGTAGTCTTGAGCCCAAGGAGATCTTGTGAGCAAATTCTTGATAGGTGAGAGGGAAAAATTTGGGGTACAATATCTGCCCCTGTTCAATCTTCTTAAGCCTGAAGAGTTAGATTGGCATGTTTTGCCATTCGTGACTCGAAGGCGGAAGATGATTGGACACTAGAGTGTCCAGAAATTTGCACTCGATGACGTGATGATAGGGGGAATGGGCTTTAAAGATGCCATTCGGAGAGATGATAGAAAGTTGTTGGAGATGGGCTTGTAGATGCCATCCAAAAATGGTTTCTGAACTGTAGCTGTAAGTTGAAACTGAATGAGTATCAGAATGGCGTTCGTGTCTGGAGCATATATGTACTGTATCTGAAAGCTGGATCTGAATGAGTATCAGAATGGAGTCTGTGTCTGGAGCGTAGCTGAACTGTATCTGAAAGTTGAATCTGAATGAGTATCAGAATGACATCCGTGTCTGGAGCGTATCTGAATTGTATCTATGAAAGAATCTGAATGAGAATCAGAATGGCGTCCGCGTCTAGAGCGTATCTGAACTGTATCTTAGAAAGAAATTGAATGAGTATCAGAATGGCATCCGTGTCTGGAGCGTATCTGAACTGTACCTGAAAACTTTGAACATTGTTAATGGTAGCTATTGATTAATCTTATCCTAAAAAAGGTAAAATGTTAGCTAATATGCAATGTTATGTTGTATGAAATGCATAGTATAATGCATATGTGTTATCAATGTTTATGATATATGGATGCGATGTATGCGTATGTGAGCTAATCTGCTGCACTACTGTTAGACTGGGGAAAATAAATCCCTGACCACTGCTGAGGATATGAAGTGTAAGTCTTCATGTTATGAAGTCGAAGTGTTGATGAATTTCTTCTTAGAGAAATAAATTTTGTTGTAAGGGAAATGCCATGTACTGCCTGTAAAATCCTGTTGGGGAATTTTGAGAAATTTGGCGACTTCTACAGGGGATTGATAAACTGGAAGCTTTGTTCCGCTGGGGATTAAACTGCACATTGTGGGGAATTTTATGGAGATAAACTTAGAGAGATTTCCCTATCTCTTAAAGCCATCAGCAATTGTCTTTTATTTTGTTTATTTGTAAACAGTAATTATGTTCAAATGCACATGTTCACCTATTCCTCCTACTAATAGAAAAACTAACCCAAACTTCACCACCAACCCTCCTTCTCTCTCCACCTTCTTCTGCTTCTTCCTATTCGTCAATTTTCTTTCCCTCATCTTTCTCATCAGCAGGCATCTGATACCTACAAACAGGACAAGACCCATGAATCCCTAACCACTTCTCAATACAATCACAATAAAACCTATGCTCACATGGAATTTCTCTAATAACCCCACCAACCTCAAACTCTTCCAAACAAACAACACACTCTCTGTGATCGCTTTCTTCAATTTCAACCCTTTTCATAGCTTTTATCGACTCCTTTGAAGCTGGTGGCTGACCCTTCTTTGTAGTATTTTCGAGTTCCTGAAATAGGGTTTCGAGACTTAATACTCATTCGACTATAATCATGCGTTGTGTGGAAGGATTCACCAAGATGATTCTTTGATGGTTGGAATATTTGAAATCTTCGTTACTCAATGATTCTTGATCTGGGTTGTGATTGATGTTTCTTCGAGTTGAAGAGACAGGAGAAAGACCTTGGATGAAGGATAACAAGAGAGACATGTCTCTGTTTCTGATCATTCTTCGAAGATATACGAAAGTTCGGAGTTTTCACCTTCGAAAGCCATCAAAACAAATCAACTCAAATGAAAAACTTGTGTGTGTGTGTGTGTGTGTGTGTGTGTGTGTGTGTGAGAGAGAGAGAGAGAGAGAGAGAGAGAGAGAGAGAGAGAGAATGAAGAGAAAAAGTAAAAGATTGATGAATAAATTTAGCGTGAAAAAACAAGAGATTTATTTTTAAAATTTATCTAATAATAACTAATATAGTTTTTTTAATTATTGATTTTAAATTTTCAACAAATATTTTATAAAAAAAATATGTTTTTATAGATAGACTCTAAACAACCGCTTACATTATTCAAGTTTAATTATTAAATGAATATAAAAATTAAAATTTATAATAAAAAAAAATTGAATGTTCTGTTATATATACCGCCTATAAAATCGTTCTTTCATTTTAAAATTATTTTAATTAGAGGTTGTTATTATAATTTAAATGAAAATCAACATGTTTTTTTTAGGATATCAGTTTATTAACTTGTATATTTAAGAATGATTTTTTAAAACTTTATATTTATTTTAAAATTAAATATGTTTTTAGTCTTACAAATTTCTTATTTTTTATTTTTAGTCCTTATAAAAAAATTTAATCTCTATAAAATTTGTATGTATGTAATTTTATTTTTATCATTTTTTAAAACTTTTAAAATTATTTAATTATTTTAAATTTTTATATTTTTAAATAATATTTTTCACATATATTTAGAATATTATAAAATATTTTTCTACTAAATTTTAGAATTTTTTAAAATGAGAAGAATTAAATTTAATTTTTTAAATTTTATAAGATAATGATAAAAGTAATAAAGATTTCGATTTAGAAATCAAATTTTAAGTTTCTTTTTTATTCGATGAACTTTTTATAATATTTTAAATATATCTGCAAAATAATTATTCACAAATATATATTAATTTAACAAGAGAAATTAAAACTACGTTGTGATACGGTGGGAGAACTGACTAGGGTTTTGCGTTTGTTTTCGCAAATGTTTCGGTTGAGCAAGAGTCGCCACCGACTTTTTATTTTATCCTAAGGAAAGGTTCAAAAAGCACAGCAAAAACCTTTGAGATTTTTCTTGGGTTCGGGGAGTAGATTATAGAAAGGGAAGGTATTAGCACCCTTTCTATCCATGGTTATCCATGGGCTCTTAGGTACTTGCTTAGATCAACTTGCCTTAATTTTCAATTGTTTGAAATGGTGCTTGGTGTATGGTTTTGAAAATGTTTGAAAAGATGCCTTGCATAGGCTACCCTTGTAACAATTCTTTACTCGAATGTTTTACAAGAGGTGTTTGTCTTTTGGAAAGATGTTTCAAAGTTTTTTTTTTTTGAAAGTTTGTTTTGAAAAGTGTTTGTGAAGTGTAGTTTGAAATTAGGCAAGTGTTTTCTTTGCAAATTGACAAGTACTTAAGAGTTATCTACCCTAAAGTTTTCTCAAAGATTTTTGTCATGTTTTAAACCTTTTGACAATTTTGTTCCACCATTGCATTTGGTGGACAATCTTGTCTTAGGAGGTGAAAGGGACAGGCGCGGGTCATTGTTTAGACCATAATTGCAATAGTGTTAAATGTCTTTGGGCAATTTTTTCTTTAAAAAGGGACTTGATCATTCATTTAGGCAACATTTTGAGGGACTATGATCATTTGATTGTTTGTTTTACCCAAAGAATTTCAACATGCAATATGGCCCAATTATTTGAAGGCAACAAAGTGGAATACCCTAGGGGTGCAAGTGTGAAATGTGTTGTTCATTTTCATGCTTATTTATCTTGTATTAGGTCAAACTACTTTGTTCGTTTTATTCGCATACAAACCCTAATTCTAGCATAGCATATTAGAAAGCATTTAAAGTGCGAAATTTAAATTCCTACACTATTACAACACAATAATATGGGGAGGGGGGTACAATGTTTCAAATGGGGTATATTTAGACAAGAAATTAAACCTAGCTATTACATCATTTTCTTGGAATATTTACAATACAAATAATTGCATAATTAAATGGAAATGAAATAAATATGCATAGTGTAAAGAGAACTTTTATGTGTATATAAAAAAAAGAGTATTATTTGTGTAAAAAAAAATAAAAGAGATAAAAAAGGTATTATTTTTGGGGTATTCACATATTTAGGGCAAACCCTAATTTTAATCAAAAGGGGATTAATTATTTAATATATATAGTATTTACTATTTATATACAAAAATAAAAATAAAATGTAGTATATTTATAAAAATGTATTTTTTAGTATTAAATATTAAAAAAATAAAATATGTACATTTTTTGGTATTTATATCCTAAGTGTATTAATATATATCTATTTATTTATATTATTTACAAAAGATGTATTATATATATATATTAATTAATAATATTTAATATTTAATAATAATAAATAAAAAAAATATTTTTTCTATAAAATATTCTCAGAAAGTAGAACAAAATAAAAGTGTGTAAAAATGTATTTCCAATATTTTAATATTTTAAACAAAACTTATATATTTATTTATTTATGTTCAAACTAAAAGAAAAATCAAATAAATACCCAATAAATTCAAAAATGATGAGAAAAAATATTTTAAAATTTTTAATATGCTGAGAAAAAATAAATGAGTCAATTAAAAAAAGAAAAAGTCAAAAAACATTAAAAATGAAGCAAATGGGCTCAGGGGGTTCAGGACAAATTGTATGGTGCAAAAAAGGAAAGTCAACATAAGCCCAGCCCATGAAGACCTTTCTTCAACCTCTGAACAACAATATTCAAAAAAACGCGCGCCCTGTTCTTCCATCCCAACATCCTGATTCTTTGATCTTTTGCACAAACTTTCAACACAAAAAATGTTAAGCATGGAACCACGATTCCAAATATATAAAGAACATCTCCTAACTCTCAGAAATGAGAGAGAATTTTAACAATCCTAAATCCTAACCTAAGTTTTCTGCCATTTTCAAACCTTAAATTCTCACAGCTCAAGCAAAAGAAATGAAAAGTAAAAGCATGTACATGTTCAGTGGCATGAGTAGAACATTGTTTATTCACAAACTTAGAGCTAATGATGCCTAATAAGAGATATACGAATTCAAAAACTTACTTGTTCAGTTGAAGTTCTATCTGGCAAAGGAGAAGCTTTCAGGGCAAGATAATGGTTGGTGTAGCTTCCTTGAGGTGTGGTGATGTTGTTCCAATATTTACTTTGCCTTGAAAGCTTTTGAATCGAGCTAGAGCACTTCACCTGCAAATCAGAAATGTGAAAATGGTGGAACCAGTTAGAGGGATTACAGGTCGTGTTTTTGCTTTTGGTTAGCTTGCATAGATGGTAGGGAAGGTGTATGAACTGGTTTGGGCAAGAGAGCTCGAGGGAAATGGAAGATGGCACTCAAACTGCAGGCCTGGCCCTATTTTTGCAGTTTGAAGGTGATTCTTAGATTGGGAGTGTATGAGAGGTGTTAGGGTCGTGTATTAGCTTGGTTATGATGTCTTGAGTTTGTTTCACAAGTTTGCTTAAGGGTTTGTAGGCTGATCTGAGAGTTATGTTACAATATGCCAAGTTACTTACACTTTAAGCAACAAATGCCCAAGTTGTGTTCTAGGTCAGTAGAGGCCCCCTAATGAGCTGCACAATCCCTCCTTGATCAGAGTGTTTTGCTCATAATCTTGTGCCAATTAGATCTCATTTGTACTGCTTGGATTTTCAATTGGACATAAAGTTAACTTTTGCAAAAATGGAAGAAATGCTTTATCTATTTTGGGATTAATCCTTTAGGCAATGCTTGAACTCATGAAATAAGGCCTTGGCACAAACGTTTTGCATTGAATTATTGAGTTTCAAAGGGTTTTAGGACCTGTAATTTAGCACAAACTATGCTGACTTGAAAATGGCTTAAGTTATGAACATGTTCATGATCAATTCAAAAGTGAGTTTTTGCCAAATTGTGAAATTCGATTCTCTCAAGTTATGAGGTTGTTTGAGGAGTTCTTGGACATTTTGGAAAGCTTGGAATGTGTACTACAATCCCTCTTTGAAATGCAAATTGAAATTCCAAGTGGAAGTGTATGGAAAATAGCCTTGAAGTTAGGTAGAAAACCTTGTCAAAAAGGTCAAATTTTCACTAAGTTAAGAATGGTTTAGTGCCCTTATTCAAAAATTTGTAACTTGAGATACAAGCCTCAAATGGGAAAACTTTGTGAATCAAAGTTGTAGATTATGAAACAAGCTACAACTTTCATGTTTTGACTTTTGTTTGAATCCAAATAGATCTTGGTGAAAAAGTGGGGAAAAGTTGGGAAAAAATTAGGGTTTTTTATAACTTAGAAAAATTCTAAGTTATGAAAAATTCTAATTTCTAACCCTAATTTGCATTTTGTGATTTCTTGGTGAACAAGTTTCATGATTTGGCATGTTTTGATGAAAAATGAATCTTGACTCTTGATTTTGACCAAAAAGTCAAAGTTTGACTTTTCAGTATACAGTCAAAATTGATCAATTGACTGGGAAATTCAACTGTCAATCCTGTGTATTTGGGATCTTTTGAGTTTGTTGAGCATGTCAAGATAATTCCATGGGGTCCTTGAGTCCATATGTGAGCTTGGTTTGCCATTGGCTAGGTCAAACAGTCAAAAATTGCCTTTGTGCAGTCAAAACCCTAAAAATGACCATTTTGCCCTTTTGGTGATTTGATCAAATTTCTTATGGAATTGTGATCCAAACTTGATCAAATGGTTCATATGAGTTCATAATGTTGATGTGGGTCAATTTCCATGAGGTTTGACTGTCAATTGGCCACAGTTGATTTTTTCCCCAATACAGCTGATTTCTAGGTCAACTGTCCAATTGACTGGGCAAAACTTGGAATCAAGGCTTGAAACTTGGTATGGATAGACTTGGGAGTCCAATATGAAGCATGAAAGTCATCTTAGGCACTTTAGGTCAAAACATCTTGGTGCAAACACAAACCCTAATTTGGGTCAACAGTGCAAGGAGAGGTCTTGAGCAGATGAAACCCTAACTGG